GGGAGCAGTTCGATATTGGTCAGACAGTGGAATGCCCTCTGTTCGCGCCAGACAACAAGATTTCTCTGTACCTTATACCGATCTTGTCAGCTTTATAGAGTGGTAGCTCGCAGGAAAAACGAAAAGATAAAAGGCAAAAGAGAAGGAAGAGAGAGGCAAGGTGAAAGAAGAGGACAGAAAAGCAGCGAGAGGCTACGAAGGTAGGGAGGAACGATGGAGAGTTTAAATGAAAAGTCGAAAGGATCGAGTGATAACGATTGCAAGTGCCGGTAAGCTGCTAAATGTGGACGTCAGATCTTTCCACAACACGCGCAAACAGGAAAGGATGGCAGTAAATTGAATTCCCTTTAAGAGAGAAAAAGGGAAAAATACGAAGAAAGAGCAACGAAGAAAAGAGGAAGTGGGAGATACAGAAAAATCTATATTTATTACCCCGGTGTGCAGGCAAACTCAACTTTGTTACCAAAATAGATAAATAGACAAAAGTTTTTTTACATAATGCACATTTTGTATGTGTGTGTGTGTGAACGCGCGCGCGCGCAAACGTTTAGAGAGATGGAAACATAAGAACTGCATTCAAAGGAGTATAACGAGAAATCTAAGGGAATAAGATACTAAGAAAAATAACTAGCATTAAAATAGAAAATGGTACATCAAGCGCACGAAAGAAACGTTCGTTATATTCGTAATCTGAATCTCGATTTAATATGAAAATACAGTGGAATAGAGTATAAAAGACGCTTTGTAGAGGTACAGTGGAGATTGTGCGCGCGCGCGCACACACACACATCGCACACAGGCGTATGTGTGTGGATGGTTCGGAGATGAATCTTGAAGAAGCCGCAGTCTGTGCCCAATGCGCGGGCTAAGGACGAGCGCCTTAACATCCCTGTCTATTTGTCGAATAAAATACGGGGAATCTGGCAACCGCATAAAACGTGCATTATTCTCAACTTTTTCTCGCTCGCGGATTCGGCGTCGAGCACCTGGGTAGCGCTAGGCAAATCTATCCCTATCAGCCGCAGACGGACGTTACCCCTGTATCCCTTCCCTTGCGCTTCTCCTGAAGGATAAAACGGTTGAATTTCCAATGATCGGCGAAAAGTAGGAGTGATGAGTAGGGGACATGCGTTATGATGTTATCGCGCTAAAGAAAAACTTGTTCGCATTTTATTCCCTTTCCCTTTGGCAAGCAGCACTTCTCCGAATCGATCCAGATTTTCGAAATAGAGGAGCCGCAATATTGTTTTATCACCTTTTTGCGGGGTATATTATTTAAAAAAAATGTGTTTAAAAATTAATATAACTAATTTACTCTCTTAACATGCACAATAAAGAAAATCTATTAAATCAATTTTCTGTTAATCTGCCTCTGTGTGAAATTCTTCTAAATAATATATCTTTCATGACTTATATTTCTGTTAACATTTTATCCATCAATTATTATTATTTATCTGCATTTCATATTTGTTAGTTCACTGTAATCCCTTTTATCGTCACGCATTTTGATTAACGAACTTCGTCGATTTGATGTTCTGCATTTTAAATTAGCAATAATAAATTGCAAAATTATAATAACTCTGTCAACATGCATTTGACAATATTAATCAGCAAAGAAATATGCCGTTTTACACTGATACAGATAAAGTATGCCGTATATAATTGAATATTGTGTACACGAAAATATCGGAAAATAATTGAAATTTCTATGTTATACAAATTGAGTTTGTGCATTTTCTCATTTTCATAACTTTACGTTACAGCTACGAGCGACATGCGGTATGCGTTACACAGCTAAAGCTAAGTTCGATAGCCGGAGAAACATGATAATCATCAACGTATACCACGTACATTATGGAATTATTGTCAAAAGGTGTCACGTTCGGCCCGACGTTGCGACCACCATTAAATTTATCGCAAATTGACCTAAATTTTCTGATAATCGATAGAGCTCCTAAAAGCCGAAACAATATCCGACACGATAATCCTGATATTGTTAGAATGAAATAAGCATAAAGTTAATACATTGTTAATAAATAATTAATATATCGTTAATACATATTCGTTATTTAACATTGTTAAACATTTATCTTTATGTATCCTTCTGTTATTTAGTACTTTTTTTCCTAATTATAAATTATGATTATGTTATTAATCTTGTACAAATGCAAATTGACAGTTATGTAAATTGTAAACTATGATTATGATGTTATTAATCTTTCACGAATGCAAATTGATATAGCTATGACGTACAAGACAATTTTGAATGTTAAATAGTTAAAGTAATTTTTATCGTATCAAATCTCTAACGTGTTTGTTGCGATGCTCGGATGTTAGTGTAATTGTATACAATTGCGGCGGTATATCTTTCATCTCGTGATTCGCAGAACAGTGTATATGGCAAGGTATAATGCACAAAACAAAGTATGAAAGAAATACAAGCCATTGCATTTCAATGAAAGCTTACTTTGCCCGCATTGGCGTGCTGGACGCGCGCTTCCGGGGGTTGGAACACCCGGGGTTGATTTGTTTTTCTCGACTTCGCCAGGGTAGACGTTAAGTGTACTCAACGTCTTATCGTGCGCCGCGCGGATTTCGGTGCCATATTTCATGCGGCAGGCAACTTTTAGCGCTCTTCTTTCGTATTTACTCGACCGGTTTGCGAAAGGCACAATACAGAAGATATAAATCCGAAGATTTATGAAGTCGGTGCAGTTCATTGAGATACGCGAAATAAGTCGGAGTGCCGGGAAGTGAAAGAAAGTAATTGGTCACGTTTTCAGAATTTATTTCGCAGCGGTCCGAATCAATTTCCCGATATTACGTGAGCGTTTATTTATAAGTCAGTTATATATGAATTAAACTCTTAGACATACTACAACAGGCAACGGTAACGTATATAGCCGTCAGTTGTGATATCAAGTTGATTTCATTTATTAAAAGACCTCTGCTTCTCTCTCATTTTCATTATTCCCAAGTTTATATTTATGGATCGCAAGAAATTAGTAATTCGCTAAAAAGTTTGCGTTTCCGTTTATTCAAATAGTTTGAAAATGCTTCCATAAAGTTCATATTTAAAATTACACGAAAATCTTTCTATGACGTGGGGAATCTAATATCCTAGTCTACGTTAACGTTTCAAAAAGTGCCGTGCTAAGCAGAGCCGCGAGTATGTACATCAAGTACCGGTAAAAGCCGTTGTCAGTGCAAAGCGCTCGCGCGGGAACCGAAAAATAAACATCGCCGTGAACCGTTGAATAATCAGACGGTGCACAGAAAAGGAGGTACAAAAATGCATGCGAAGAGAAGTGTACGACCACACGGCGCGTCGCTCCCCGAACGAACGTATCGTACCACGGGAGATAAAAGCTCACCTCGTGTTCCTCGCTCTGCTTGGCGGTTGGATATTAAAAAACAGGAATCGGAAAACGAGGCCAGGAAGCAAGCATTATTCGGTCGGAAACCGTAAGCTTTCGAAGTGTCACGCGCGCGCGCGCGTCAACTGGTGGCGCGATTGTTTCGCGTAAACGTGGGTACGCCTACCAGAGACAAGTGCAGCCGGCAGAACGAATGACGCGTCCGTCTAGCGGAGGAAAAAGAAAAAAAAAAGAAAGATAAAATGCTTTAGGGCGAACTTTTAGGACGAATGCATATTCATGTCGTAGCGATGCGACCGTGCCGCGCCGGGTCCAAGTGGCGCGAATTAATATGCATAAATTCTGCCATTACCAACGGCTCAGGCAGCTTGAAACGTCTCTTCCCCCGATTTCCGAAGGTCCGACCTACTTGCCAGAAATTCTTGAGAACGGCAACACTCTTTCACCCGTATAATACCCACATTGCTTAAAGCTGAGTGCAACAAAAGTAAGAAATGCCAAAAAGTTTTTTATCACAGCAAGTCGTGCAATATGTATATCCACCTTGAATAATTTTTAATCGTTGTATAATAATATTTCACTCGTATTAAGTTATAAAATAAATTAACTAATTATCGCTACAAGAAACCACAATAAAATATGAACATTAAAAGAAGAGAAATATTTTTTTTAGAAAAATTGGATATTTCTATTTTACCTATGAAAAAATAATTCAAACATTTTTAATATTGAAATAATAAATGTCTTTGATCATCTGAATGCGATAGTGGTTTTAGAAAAGGATTATGTGGAATGTAAAAGTGAAAAATGTTGGGAACAGTAAAACTTTGCCTTCTCGATTATACGCCGCGGAAAAATTTTTCTCTCGTATGTTATCGCTCCTAAATGTATCCGGCACATTCCTAAAAAACTTCATCAGTCGGAATTTTGCGAGAATTTAATCATTCACGCGAAATTGAAAGGCTTTATGCAAGATAGGATCACGTTTTCGGAAAAATTCACATACATCTCTACTTTTTCAGAGCGCACATAAAAATGGGTTATATTTAAAAAAAAATCGCCATTTTTTTGTAAAGCCGAAGTAAAAATTTTGTAGATCACATTATGCAACAAAAAAAGGAATATTATTTCGATTTACAAACGACATAATTTTTTCAGTAATGCAATTATTAAAAATATTCGAATAAATTGATTGCACAAATTATAAATCAATACATGTATCAATATCATAGGGAATCACTCATTTGAAAATAAATGTATATTTCAAACCGTTTTACATGTAAATTTTTGATGACTTTAAAACTCTATTAAATATTTAACATATGCATGCCTGTGTGCGTCGCCTGAGACGTTTTCTTCAAACGTATAACACGATTCATAATTCATGGAATATTCATAAATTATTTACGCATTAGTGGAGCGGTCAGTGAGCATAACAATCATATTTTATGCATAATGCTGATTACTGAAACGTTAGGTAAACAAACGCATGAAGAAGACATGAAGAATGAACGGCACTAAATTTTCCAACGTACCTACTTCGCGGTGCCGACTATGCAGACTTAATTTTTCACGTCAATAAGAAATCCGCCTTCAAAAGATTAAACATCGTGAGGCACTCACCAAGCACGACCAGCTTCACCGGTTTGCCGAAGAGAATCTTCCCCCGGTCATCCTCCAGGGTGCAGCCCCACACACCGTCGTCCTCTAATCTGACGTTGTCTATGTGCAATGCCGCGGTCGTCGAGTCGCCGATGTACCGATGCCCGGTTCCGCTCATTTCCGTTCTCGTGTCTATCGTGATCATATCCACCGGACTACCCTCGTGCAGCCATGTCGCCGGTCGTATTCTGTAACTTCTGACAAGGGGCAGAGCGTCCGCATTATTAGTTCACCTAACAAACTTCGTTACGCCCGATCTTCGGGGCGACAAAGAGGCCTCGAGCCGTATATACCCGCGTTACTATCACGGACTTTGTTTCCGTAAAGGGAATAATTTCACCACGATGTATTCAACGCGCGAAAGTTACTCGTACCGTTGCCATAAAGTGAAACCGGATATTAATATATGCATTAATATAACGAGGGAATATTATTACACGGACATGCGTACGCGACGGATAGATACGTGAAGGCTTACTCTTTAGACATTACAAGAGAAGAAAATGGAGACTATCGATTGCGTACCATGTTACGCGATTTATTTGAAATTTAAGCACGATATTTCCTCACACTCGGACAGATTTCATTTAAAATGTTTCAAATATACTTCACGTTCTTTCGATTTCAATTTTAACTGAAATGTTATATTTCAACAATTTATAGCGCGACAGATCGATTGAAGCCGTGGCACGCGTGTTACCTTGCTCCTGGCAGCAATAATCTCGAGTAATTTCCTTCCAGTTCGCAGGGTAAGACGACTTTGCTATGGGGCTTCACTACGAGCTCCAGCGGCGGATTGGACGACGTGTCGGCCACGTCTGAGGATAGAGCGATGTTGGTCGTGGTGGAAGAACTGGTGGACCATGACTCCTCTTCGGGGGCCAAAAGGGCCGCGGGTTGCACCACTTCGTCAGGTAGAGGTATCAACGTCGAGCTGGACGTCGTTGTGCTCGTCGTGCTGGTGGTAGTCCGCCTGGCACGCCGACTACCCTCCTGCCTGCCTCGTAGCGCAAAAACACCAGCCTCGTTCACGGAGCCTGCAACAACGACGGGCGGTATAATGGCGTCAGCTTCTCTGACGTGGCCACCGTTAAAGAAAGTTACCGTGATTTCATTTTTCGTCAGTTTGCCCTCGCGTTTTTTACAGGACGTCGCCTTATCGCGCTTTTGTTATTATCGGCGTTTCTCAGCGCGTCCCGGTTTTTCTTTTTTTTTTTTGTTACGTATTTCTGGATAAACCGCGTCACATGACCTCCCGGCAAGAAATCACGCTCGCGCCACGAGTTCAACTATTATCGGTATTTACCATCGGTACTGCTGTAACTGTTTTATGGTCCGGCCACGATTGATTAACTGGACGGACAGGGAGATTAATTAGGGTATAATGTACTTGTATACCGAGTTATATAATTAAACAGATATTGTAATTACATAAAACCTTCAATCACAGAGTTTCACGCTCTTTCTGCGATACGGAACGTTCTTGAAAACTTAATTTAAAGGATCTCACCACCCCTGAGGCCTTGATATGTATCTAAGTTTGGGATTTTTTGTGGGTAAATAGATAACTTTATTTTAAAGCTGTTTAGAAGACATTGTTGTACATATATAAGAAACAAAAAAATATTTTTTTATTTTTTTATGCACAAAATGGCGGCGCAATGGCCTACTTGTCGAATTTTTTCTGTTTTTTCAAATCGGTATATGTTCCAGGCACACTGTTTGCTCTTGAATAAAACACAAAAAATTTTCTACATATTAAAAACTAAAAACGTACGTAGGGATTTTTTAAAATATTGATTTTTCTCGAAATAGCAGCTATTTTTACAAAAAGTTCGTATTTTTGTCAATACCAGTCTTTCGTAAAATAGCTGCCATTTTGAGAAAAATCAATATTTTGAAAAATTCCTACGTACGTCTCTAGTCTTTGATATGTAGGTAATGAAAATTCTTTGTGTTTTGTTCAAGGTCAAACCGTGTGTCTGAAATCCTGTACACCGATAGAAAAAAAGGGATTTCGCAAGTGTAGGCCAGTGCGCCGTCATTTTAGACATAAAAAAAATAAAAATATATTTTTTTGGTTTCTTCTATATGTACAATAAATAGATTTTAAATAAAGTTATCCATTTACCCACAAAAAAAATCCCAAACTTAACCCATTAACGTCCAGGCGGACACATTTTTTGAACATTTTTCAGTGGCCAAATTTTTTATTTTAATGGCCTTGAAAAAATTCTAGCCACATCATTTCTGATGTAAAATTTCTCGCTCTTTCAGAATCTGCCATCAGAATTTGTCATAAATAAAGTCCAAAAAAGTTATAGTCGATTTTTTGGAAAAAAACCGTGATTTTTCACTCAAATTTTTTTTTTAAGCGATATTTTCACATTGAAACAACATTAGGACGATCTTGAGGAGTCAAAATACAGCGTCCATGAACTCTAAACTTTAAAATGTGCACATACTCATTTCAAAATTCATGATGGCGGCATCGAAAATGGCGGCCGAAAGCTCGAAATGTTACGATATTGTGCAAATTCATTTTAAAAAATGCAGTAATCGTCATGACTGGTGTGTTCTTATCAATATCGTGATATTATATAATTAAAATAACATTAAAATTATTGCAACAATATGGCGGACGCAAAATGGCCGATCATAACGTGCTAAAAAACGCCAGGAGATGGGTATATAAAACCGTTATATTTTTTTATTGTTTTATATCAATGTCACAGTACTTTATTTTTCGTTAAACTTTTTTTTGTTAATTTTTTAATCAATTTTAAATTTTTTATACATATTTTACTTTTCAGTTTTTATTATTTTTTTGGTTGTTTTTTATCAATTTTATAATTTTTTTTCAAATAAAATAATTTTATTTATCACTTATGAAAAGCATAAAAACAGATGAAGCATTGATAGATATTACAATCTATACACATTCTTTATGTTCTCGAAGCACATTTTGCGTAATGTGAACAGTATTTTTTCAATTTTATCAATTTTATAATTTCTTTTCAAATAAAATAATTCTATGTATCACTTATGAAAAGCATAAAAACAGGTGGAGCATTGATAGATATTACAATCTATACACATTTTTTGTGTTCTCGAAGCACATTTAGCGTAATTTGAACAGTATTTTTTCAATTTTACTGTTTGAAATTGAATTTTGTGATGACAAGCATAGCTTGGCAGACAGCGTGCCGGTTTGCCAAGTTACGCTTGTCCTCACAAAATTCAATTTCAAACAGTAAAATTGAAAAAATACTGTTCAAATTACGCAAAATGTGTTTCGAGAACACAAAGAATGTGTATAGGTTGTAATATCTATCAATGCTCTATCTGTAGATCGGAAGAGCACACGTC